GGTTCAGAGAAGAACAGTTTCTTTCATTTGATAGGTAACAGCTTCTTGTACTCTGGATGTATAGTTTTGACTATGGGTAACTAAAGTTTTTGTGGTTAGAATGTTACTGTAACTTGGGCTAGGGTCTGCTAGCTGAATGCAAAGCAGAGACATCCAAAATGCTATTATTATAGTTCTTGTAATATGCAATATAAAAATTTAACTGCACAGGACAGTATATTATCCTCTTAAAACAGGTTGTGTGATGACTGCCCTGAGGGGAACAGGAGAGTCCCTGGTCTGTGGCAGCTGGAGCTCCTGGTTTTCTGTACTGCGAGCACAAACCAGACAGGCTTTCCCTCACTGTGACTCTTTCCACAAAGAGCTGTAAATTTATTTAATGGATTTAGGTGTTCTCTAGCAGCCCCATTGGAGCTATTACAGGGTAGAGAATGAGGCTGCCTTAAATTGAGAAGTCCTGGACACTGACAAACTAATCCCAGAACATGTCAAACAAGACAGCGTTACTGTCTCCTGTCAGACAGTTGTGTTCCTGCAGTAACAGTTGGCCTGCATAGCAGGTAGGTTTGTAAAATGTTATATCAACTCGACAGTGCCAGTAGAGAGAACTCCAGAAGCATCTATATTGGTTTCTACTCTATGTGTATTTGAGAAAACTGGGATAAAATCTGCTGGCCCAATCTGTATAAGTCCTTTAACTTTCAAAATCAAAGGACCTAGGTTACACATCTCATCTATATATTCTCCCTCTACAAGCTGCCTTTCATCTGGTCAGCTGTGTGGTGTACATCCCCTTTAGCCATGCGTTTCCACACCCTGAGTCAGGAATTAAACCCCCTGGGTTGTTCAGTTCTACAGGTGCTGTGATGAGTTTGAAGGCCTTGCTCACTAAAGCAAGGGCAGCCAGAGAAGTAGCTGCTCATGCAGGGGCTCTTAGCTTGGTGAGTGTAGCAGCAGCTGCTCTATATGTGTTCTTCTATATTTGTTCTTCTGTCAGAAGCTTCTGCCTTAAATACCTGAAAACCCTGCTGTAATCTCAGAGCTTAACTGCTGGAATGATCAGCTGTCTTTGACCTAGTCATGTAGTTTATCTTCATTTCAGTTGGCAATTTGAGACTTTAAAACTTACTACTTAGTATTGTTACTTAGTGTGTTGCTTTCCAGCACGCCTCTCTTTGTTGGGAAGGGGGGGCTGTTGGTCTGGCAGAACTTCCCGTGCTGAAGATGCAGATTTGCCTTTACTAGAATTGATGTAACTTGTGCAGCAGTTAGGAAGCTCATCAAGAGAGAGGTAGACTGGAATGTGGAGTTACTTGTTTCTTAACATCTGTTCTGGTGTGTGATTGAGTTTGAAGCTTGTACTAGACTAATGGATTAAAACATTAAAACATTTTATTCACATTTCCAAATGCCAGGTAGCAAGTGAGAATCTTTGAATCCAGATGTCAGGTGTTCTTTTCTGCTGTCTGTCAAAACTTTCACCCGAATTTCTCTATTTTTGGGAGATAGTGAGAGGGAAGGAGGGTACAGGTATTTATTAAAAAAAAAAAAAAAAAGCAGAACTGAAATAAGGAGGTTTCTTCTGTAATCTATTGATAACTCACACCCTAGAACAGACTATGCTATGCATGTAACTGCTTCCCAGTTTGTTCACTTTTCCTGATCTGTCCCTTTTTTCAATTGTAACTGTTGTCACAAATCAGTCCTGTCTCTGTACACAGTTGCAGAGCCAAGAACTTGGGTGTTGTTTCTGTAGGAAACTTTTCAACTTTAATTCACTGTTTTTTGGCTATAAATGGAATGTGGAAGTCCCTCTACTCAGAGAGTTGTACTTTCTTTCCATCTCTTTCCAGTGGTGAAGATTGGAATCAGATGCAGTCTCAGGAGGATGACATGGCAATAACTGAACAAGACCTTCAGCTCATTAAAGAACGAGAAACAGCAATCAGGCAATTAGAGGTGACCAGTAAATCCTGCAGAGTTAAAAATGCTGGGAGATAAATCAAAGAAGTTGTGTGGTGCTAACTAACTGGATGGGCTGATGGTGAAGGAACAGAATTCCTAGCAGATAGGATTGATGCCAAGAGCTATCTCTGTTCTCTTGGAGGAGACTAGGTGTATTTTCCTTTGGTGTTGACCGGTGGTTCTTCAGAGATGGTAGGAGCAACACATGTCACAGTGTTCATCTCAATTCCATGCTGTGCTAATTGGTAGTGTAATGAAACCAGTTTTGAGTAGCAGGAATATTGTAGGGTTTTGTGTTAATCCCAAGTTCCATCAACAGGGACATTAGGGCACCTCAGTCAGGGGATGATGGTATCTATTCTGACACTTTGAGCAAGGGTTAGAAGAGGTGTTATGAATGAGGATTAGAAAAATTGCAAGCAATATTTGTTACAATGTGTCAAACTGTTGTCTTCAGGCAGATATTTTGGATGTCAATCAGATATTTAAGGATTTGGCAATGATGATTCATGACCAAGGAGATATGATTGGTAAGTGTGTTTGGATAATCAGAAGTTTCTTTTTAGTTAATTTACCTTTTTTTTTTTTTTTGCCTACAAATACTACATTTTCTAGTGTTTTGTGTAAAAAAGTATTTCTGATCATTTTTTTAACACTGAAGCTGTGGCACATTTTACAATGAGTTCTCTTCTTTTTCTATAGATAGCATAGAGGCAAATGTGGAAAGTGCAGAAGTCCATGTGGAAAGAGCCAGTGAGCAGTTACAGAGAGCTGCCTATCATCAGGTAAATTCAGTTTCCTTGCATTATTGTCAATGTGCAGTTGAGCAATAATGGAACAGGCATAACAAGACACATACTGAGGACTGCAACACGCCAAAGAAGTCGTTAAAAACTTCTTGTGCAAATTTGCACTCAGTTAAAATTGTGCTGCAAGGAATAGATAAAGCACTTGAGTAAAAAATGGTGTTGAAATTACCCTTCTACTTCAGAGGACACATAGTCAACCTGTTCCTTCATGTCAGTGTGCTCAGCAAGCTTAAGTGTTGAGCTGTCTTTAGCTGCCCTTCTCAGGACTTAGCAAAACAGTCAAACAGGAACAAATTTTTATGTTGTATCCATCTTACAAACATCAGCCAAGACACTGATGTGCAGAAATCTTTGCCCAGACTTGGGAAACTTCTGGTGACTGGGATTTGCAGCACCCTTCTTTCTAACTGCTGAATTTCTGTCCCATAGTCTGTCCTCCCTGTCCCCTCAGATCTCTGCTGCTTTGGTCTCCTTTATGGAGACCTATATTCGATCCTATATTGGATGTTTTCTGTAAGTTCTTTCATCATTATACCTGTAGGTTCAGCTTCTGTGAGGGAACAAGGGTTCTGCTTCAGTCAGTCCCATGGAGAGATTCACTGCTGGGACTTTGGCTTTCACACAAGATAAAATACTGGACTCTTGCAAGCTGTTAAGTGGGGAGGTACTAGAAAGCAATAGAACTCCAGTGCTGCTGCAGGGGAGGGAAAGTATCTTTTAGTATCTCACAGCATTTAGTAGTATTCTCTCTCTCCTCATGGCTACCTTTATAAAGTTTTGAGGTTTGATAAAAATCTCAGTTTGGGAGCTATTGGACATGTATTGGATATGTTTTTCTGGATGGCGAAGGAAGTGGTTATCTTTAACTATCCTCAGATTCTGAGATACTAAGTTAAAAATACTTGGTGTATATGGACAGACTGTAGTTGCCTATGATGGATAAAGTGATCAAAGCAGTAAAATCGAAGTACAGTAACTATATTAAATCATTGAAACTGCAGAAATGCAATAGTATTTCTACACCAAATTGTCGTGGCCAAGGAGAGATTGTATTGGAGAGCTGCTTGGCTGTTTTACTGGTCTTACCTGGAAAATCTAAATAGCTAGAAATGTTGGGCTTTCGTTTGAAGCCATGGTGGTGTCCCTTTAGGATGAAAAGCATCTGATAGGTGTGGTCAAGTTGAAGTAAAGCTTATGTTTTCCTTACGGGAAGCAAAATGTTCCACATTTTGACATAACTATCTCTTAGACCAATGTCCTCCTAAAACTACAAATGTTTGTCTGTAGTATCATGCAACTTAAGGAACATAAAAATGTTCAGACTACACCAGTTACTTCTCTTGAATGAGTATGGGTATGAAGTGCTCTAGTTTGCCAAAGTTAGTAACACTAACTAGTAGGCTTGTTCTGTGCTCTTGTCTGTTCCTGATGCCAGTGGCTTTTTTTTTTTTCTTTTGTTAGAAGAAATCCCGTAAGAAGATCTGTATCCTGATTATTGGTCTTGCTGTGGCTTCTATAATCCTAGGACTCTTTATCTGGAAGTCTTCACATGGAACCTAGTTTTATTGCTGAGATTTTGTTTCCCTCAGAGCAAACTGGCTGGCTAGTCTCGGAAATTAATTGACCACCGTGAGAGGGCACAAGCTGCAGCTACTTCTAGTAATAGATATTAGCATCTAATGTGCAGATAAATACTATTTGAATTAGTGAACCATGGAGACAGTATTTATGAGTTTATATACAAATGATATTGTTTTATGTAACTAAAATCTTGTGGTTTTGCTTTCTGTAATGTATTATTCCTTCTCCCAACTGTATGCGGAAGTCTGATCAATAATTGGAGATGTCTTGTTTTTGACAAGTGGCACAACGTAACATTTTATATGTCTAAATAACTGTCGGACTGGAATAAGAACGACATTCAAAGAGGGCACAAGGCTGATTCACATTACCTTAATCCAGTAGTTTCTAAAGTCTCCACTATCTGCCTCCTGGTTTTATTAAGTCTCTGAGTGACTGAGGTTCTAGATTCTCTTGAAGAGAAAGATGTTACAGATTTGAATGGCAAGGAGAAGTAGGCATGGATCATATTTGGAACCACTGCGTGCTGGTCAGTTCAGCCTTGAGACTTGTAACTGCATTGTTTAAATTTTTGAGTGGTTGGGGTTGATTTTTTCCAAAATGCAGCATTTGAGGACAGGATGTTTTGACTTACAATCTAACAATTCAACTTCCTTAGAGAAACTAGCTGGTGGTTCATTATTGGACAAATAAATCTATTCTGATTCTGACTCTCAAAGCACTAGAAATAAAAGTTTAGCTGCTCACTCGTAATTGTTTTTAGAAGGTTCCAGGGAGAAAATCACACAAAGATGGGGAAGAGGGCACTTTCAGTTTACAAGCTAGCAGGATAGATACTAGCTGGAATCTTGCTTCTGAAGAAGTACTCTTGAAGCTCACTTGTAGTGTACTAGTATTTTGTGTGGCTTGTGAATATCTGGTATTTTCATTCTTTTATGAAACAAAAAGTGCAGAAACTGACGGAGTGAAGTGCTAGATTTTTCAGGCTGGCAATGTGTGTGCAAATGAAAAAGATCACTGGTTCCAACTGTCTTGCTAGCAGAGCTGGACAGAAGGTATCAGCCTCTCCCTGCTTCAATGTAGCTCTGAACTGACATGCACTGAGGGAACAGTAATCTGCCCGAAGCCCAACAGAGTGTGGTGAATGCAGCATACTGACCCATTTTGTATTTAATCCTTATTCCATGTCTCCTGTATAAAAAAGTAAATGTGAAAGCTGGGAAGGGAGTTTGTTCTCCCAATTGCACAGTGGTTTGCACTATTGCGCCATCATTCCATCTAATAACCATCAATAAACACTTTTAAAAGCCTCTGTCAGAGCTTCTTTCTCTTGCAGTTTAGATATTAGTACAGGGAATGTTTGTAGTTCCCTCTGTCAACAGGACAGAAGACTTTCTATGAGCATTGGCAGTGTTTCTTCCAGCTTTAGTTCTGTGGTCCCTGATTCTTAAGAATGGAACTAGCTGAAAACACTGAATTACTTTCACATGGATATAGACAAAACTCCTGTGCAGAGCCCTGGAGAACAGCTCATCACAGAAAAATGGATCTGATGCCTCAGGACAGTGTAGGGTCAACTTTCATCAGTTGTTGACAGAACTTGGGAAGGGAACTGTGTGCACTGTCTGCTGCAGTATCTCCTCCACAGGAAAATGAAAGCACTTTCCTCATGCCCATGCTTCAGAGTGAGCCTGGGTACATTATGTGTGGGATCCATCCTCACTCTAGTCTTAGTCCTCTAAAAACTGGAATTGAGAACACCAGTCCAGCTGGCTGGACTGGAGGTTGCTGTAGTTGCTGGACTCCTTCCTCCTCTATCTTTATTTACATCGTTGAACTTCGTGCTGGAACTGCAGCAGGAACTGTTTTTAACAGCAGTCCTGACTGTTCCCGAGTGTGAAAAATCACCATCAGAAACGCTCCTCTCTGTTGCTGCAGGCTTCTGGCACTAAGCGCTCCGGGCTCTTGGATGTGTTTTCTACCACTCCGGGAGATGCTGGAAACGTTCTGGGAAGGCGGGAGAGGCAGGGCAGGGTTCCTTCGCTTGTGCCGCTGCTCGCGGCCGCTGTTCTGCCCCGCCCGGGGCTCTTGGGGCCGCTGTGCCCGGCCGGGGGTGCTGGAGAGAGGGGCTGTTTCCTGCACAGCAGTTCACTCAGCTGCACTTGTAACAAAGCCCTGGCCGCGGTACCTGCTGCCTGCCTGCGTTTGTCTGCTGCTCTCTAAGATGTTAAGAGCTAAAACACTGGCTACGCTTGGGGGTTGTTGGCAGAGGAGTGACCCGGGCCGTTCGCCGACCCTCCTCGCCAGCCCCTT